TCTTCTTAAAATTGAAGGTGTTAATGCATGAGATGAAATGGAATTCTATGTAGGCAAGAGATGTGCTTCTGTGTACAAAGCAAAAAACGACTCAGTGACTCCTGGTGGCAAACCAAATAAAACCAGAGTAATCTGGTGCCCACAGAAACAGTGGCATGGTTCGAGCCAAATTCCAAAGCAACCCTCCTGCTAAAGCCACTGGACACAGAATCCGTGTGACGTTGTACACCTCTAATGATTTAAACTAATGAAAAGTAAATTAATAAAAATGGATTCATGTTGTAAAAAAAAAAAGATTCAAGTATGAGTTTATTTTGATGTGAAAAATTCTGAAATCTGTGCATACCTTTTTTATAATGCATGTCTTCCAAGAACTTCTTGAAAATTAGCTTATGTTGTATGAAAAGCAAAACTAATCTATGGTGTTACAGATCACGTGACTTGAAACTCATGCTGGGCGTATGTGCATGTATGCCCAAAATCCCAAGAGAAGAATGGAGAAGAGACTGCCACATGGCCAGTCCCCTGGCGAGTGGTTTCTCCCTTTCTCTGTGTCTCCAGCGAGCACACACACCCTATAAAAAAAATCTCTCTAAAAACATTAATAAAAAAGGATGTGCTGAGATGAAATCTCCACTTCAAGCAACAGTAAAATATTCACAAGAGACATCATCAACATGAAAATTCAGAGTATTAGAGACAGAACAGACTGCAAGAGCTTTCAGAGGAGAAATAAGAGTAACCCTGGACCAGTCCCTGGTCTGGTGGCAAAGGCAGCTGGATCCTACATAGCTGACCATGAAGTTGGAGTCTCAGGACTAGACTGAACACATGTGTGAGTGCCCCAAATCCCAAAGACAGAGAGAGCGAGGAAAAGGGATTCTGGTATGACCATGCCCTACAGGAGGGTGTTTTTTCACTTTCTTTTCTCCCCCTATCTCTTTCTCAACATCTCTTTCTCTAGCAAGCACATGTGCCCTATACCAAATTAAAAAAAATAATTAACAAAAAAGAAGTTAACAATGTATGAAACAGGTAGGTTAAGACATAGTAACACAGGCAAATTATTTAGAACATGGAGGCAAATACCAGTAAAATTAAATTGTTGAAATCTCCCCACTTCGGGTGGGTATAGGAGAGGTGAAGTGAGGAACTACTTCAATGATTATAAAAGCTTTATAGTACTTACTATTTAATTTTTTTAAATAGCTTTACTGAGATATAATTCACATACTATATAGTCCACACCCATTTAAAATGTATAATTTATTGTGTTTTGTTTGTTTGTTTTTTAGTATATTGGTAGAATCGTGCAACCACCACATCACAATCAGGATTTTTTTTTTTTTTTTGGAGATTTTTGCTATAGGGTGCATGTGCTTGCCAGAGAGACAGAAAGTGAGAAATCGCCTCCCAAGGGACGTGGCCACAGCACAATCCTTCTCCTCCATTATCCTCTCATGATTTTGGGCATGCAAGCACATGCTCCCAGCATGAGTTTTAACCCACTGTGTCTGGGACTTGAACCTCGGTCAACCATGTGAGAGTCCAGTGATATAAACCATTATGCCATATGCTGGTCTCCCCAATTAAAATATTTTGAATATTGTAAGAAACTCATTAATAAGAAAAAAAAACTCAATATTCACTACCCATTTCCCCTAAATTTCTTCTTTGTTGTTAGTTTTTTCCCATTGTGGTAAAATATAGTTAACATTTACCATTTTAACCGTTTTTAAATGGATAGTTCACATCATAAACTGAGGTGCAATTGTGAACACATCTATGTCCAAAGCCTTTTCATTACTGCAACAGAATTCTATTGAGATAATGTACCTAGACAGCAACTCATTCTGCCACTTATCCCAGTGCCTGTTCCATTTCCTGTCTCCATGTATTTCATTCTTCCAGGTATCCATATAAATGAAATCATGTCTCTTTCCTATCTCCATGTATTTGATTTTTCTAGGCATTTCATATAAATGAAATCATATGGTATTTTTTCAACTATACTGTAGCATGTGTCAGAATTTTCTTCCTCCTAAAGGCTGAATAATAATCCATTGCTTGCTTGTTTTACACATTTGTCTATCCATTCACCAATTGAGGGACACTTAAGTTACTTCCACCCAAACATTTGACATTGTGAGTAATGTTGCTATAAATATTGGTATATAAATATCTATTCAACTCCCTGTTTTCAATTCTTTTGGGTATACAACTAAAAATGTAACTGTTGGGTCAAATGGTTATTCTATGTTTAATTATTTAAAGAACTGCCATACTGTTTCCCACAATAGCTAGGAGTTCTCTATACATTCTGGACATTAACACTTATCAGATATGTGATTTGCAATTATTTTCTCCCACTCTATGGGTTGTCTTTTTACTCCTGATAGTATCCTCTTATGTACGAGTTTTTAATTTTGATGAAGTCCAGCTTATCTAATTTTTCTTTTGTGACTGTGTCTCTGGTGTCATATCTGTGGAAGTCACTGCTAAATCCAACGCCATGAAGTTTTAGCTCTGTTTTCTTCTTTTCTTAATTTGCCAGAAGATATATGTGCTCACAGAAAAATAGAGGGAAAGTGAGAAAGTACCTCCCATGGAAGATGATCATACTATAATCTCTTCTCCTCCATTTCTCTCTCCTTCTGGGATCTTGGGCATGCACATGCACACACACACACACACCCCACGTTTTTCAAGCCACAGGGTCCAGATCTAGAATCATAGCTGGCCATGTGAGATCCAGCCCCCTTAATCACACACACTGGTTGGCCTCACCCTATATTTTCGTCTAAAAGTTTTACATTTTTATCTTTTATGTTTAGGTCTTTGATCCATTTCGAGCTGATTTTTTTTTTTTTGTAAGAGAGATTTTTGCTATAGGGTGCGTGTGCTCCCCAGAGACACACAGAGAGAGACAGAGAGAGAGAGAGAGAGAGAAAGTGAGAGAAAGTGAGAAACCACCTCCTTGAAGATGGCCATGCTGATTGCAAAATCTCTTGAGATTTTGGGCATGCAGGCACACATACTCAGCTTGAGGTTCAAGTTGCCAGGTCCAGGAATCAAACCATGATAGACCATGTAGAAGTCAACACCTTAACCACTGTGCCACCTGTTGGCCCTTTAACCTAGTTTTTTATATTTGGTATAATGTAAGAGTACCACTTCAATCTTTTACATGTATACATCTCATTTTTCCAACTTCATTTGTTGAAAAGACTGCCTTTTCCTCATTGAATGAGGAATTGGCACCTTTACAGAAAAATCATTTCAGCCATGTGTGTGAGAGTTTATTTATGGGCTCTCCTATCTCATCCGCGTACATGTATGTCTTTATGTCAGTGTCACCACAATTGTGATTACTATATCTTATATAGGAAGTTTTCAAACCAGGAAGTGTGAGTTCTCCAACTTTGTTACTTTTTTAAGATTATTTTTGCTATTCACGGTCCCTTGAGATTACAAGTAGATTTTAGAATAGATTTTTCTGTTTCTGCAAAAATTATTGGAATTTTTGATAGGGATTGTGTTAAATCTGTAAGTCATTTCAGTAGCACTAACATCTTACTTAAATTATGTCTTCCCACCTATGTCCATGGATGTTGTTCCATTTATTTATGTATCTTTAACTTCCTTCAGCAATCTTTTTTTTAGAATAATTTTATTTAACTTTATTTATTATTATTATTATTTTATAA